TTAGGTGAGGACCATAGAGAGGTGGGGGGACCAATGCCTTGCTCCCCAAGGCTTTCCCAAATCCTTGGTCCCCACTCTCCTCATAAACCGCCTCAGCCTAGCATGCTGCCCAGCTGCCAGCTAGCGTGCCAGCTGGCTGTGCCAGCTAGCCTAGCATGCTAGCACAAGCCCAGCAGCATCGCTGATGCTCGCTGGTGCGTGCTGGCGCTGGTGCTGGCTGGTGCGTGCTGGTGCTGGCGCTGGCGCGTGCTGACGCTGCTACCAGCAATCCCTCGCATCCTCGCTACTCGCATGGCCCAGCATGCGTGCTGCTAGCGAGCCATGCATGCTGGCCTCTTGCCACGCACCGCACTCCCACACCATGCGCACCACGCATCTCTCTCGCACACAGTGCCTAGCATGCGTGCTGCTAGCGAGCCGCGCATGCTTGGCTTGACGTTGCTTGCTAGCTTCCCAGCCCCTCGCACACACCCTCGCACTCCCTCACGCATCAGCCTCGGCACTGCGCACTATGCACGCACATGCCTCGCCCACGCACCACGCATGCGCCAGTGCCTAGCACTAGCTATGCTTGGTGTGTGGTCCTGCCATGCGCCCAACACTATGCTAGGGCTGCTATGGCATTAGGCCATCCTAGGGCACGCATGGTGCGCCTAGTGATGCTGCCTGGGTTGCGATGGCGCCCAACCATCCTAGGCCACGCATGGTGCGCCTAGTGATGCGTATAGGCCCTGCGATGGGCTGCTGGCTTGCGATGGTGCCTAGCATCATGCTAGGGCTGCGACAGCGCCTAGGCATGATGCTAGGGCTGTGCTGGCGCGCCTGGTGCTAGCGACAGCCAGCCATGGTGCCTAGCCATCATGCTAAGGCTGCCATGGCGCGCCTAGTGACTATGATGAGCTAGCCTAGCCTAGCTATGGCTACGCTCATGCTTGTCGATTGTGATTTTGCGACGCTCGGTCTCGACGCCCTAGGCTCGACTTCCGACGTCTATATTCGTAAAACTATGTCGACTCATTAAATCCTTTCGGATTAATTCGACATCTCGGATCGGAGATTTGATTGGGTTCGACCCGAAGGGTTTAGTTAAGATTAAGCTGTAATATCAATTGTACCACGATATTACTAATCGGAAGCGACCTCCACCTAGGCATTCCGATCACTTGACCTTACTGAAGAATTACCTCTGTAATAATTCTGAACCCTCTATCGGAATAATACACTTGTTGGAAGGACACCATTCCTTTCAATTCTTGCTCATTTTGTCAAATTAATGCTCATTTTGTGAGTATGTTTGAATGTTTTAAATACGTTAGCCTACTAACTCAAGGGTAGAGCATTGTGCAAATGCACAAAAGATGTGGGTTCAAATCTCACGTAGGTTCCTTTATGTAATGTGGAGACACAAGTTTGTATGAGAGTTTAATTGTAACAAAGTTTATATAGTTATAAATCATTTCAAACCATTTTTTTGCTCATATAATTTAGTACGAATTTGATTTTTTTTTTTTAATTAATTTTGTTTATAGAGATAACCTATGTAGGAATTGAACCTACATCCCCTATGCATTTGCATAGTGCTCTACCAGTTGAGCTAATAGGTTTATCATATGTTTTAAATCATTTTCTATGTTATAATTTTTAATGAGCTCATTTGATAAATCAACAAAAAATTGTTTGGTCATTTGATAAAATGAACAAAGAATTGTTGCTCATTTGATAAATGAGCAAAGATTTGTTTGCTCGTCTGATAAATGAGCAAAAAATTATATGCTCATTTGATAAATGAGCAAAGAATTGTTTGCTCATTTTCTATATGGACAATGAATTTTTGTTCATTTGACAAACGAAACAAAGAATTGTTGCTCATTTATCAAATGAGCAAAGAATTGATTGCTCGTTTGATAAATGAACAAAGAATTGTTTGCTCGTTTGATAAATGAAAAAAGAATCGTTTGCTCGTTTGATAAATGAACAAAGAGTTTCTTGCTCATTTTGACATAATGAACAAAGAATTGTTTGCTTATTTGATAAATGAGGAAAGAATTATTTGCTCATTTGATAGATGAGCAAAGAATTGTTTGCTCATATGATAAATGAGCAAAGAATGGTTTGCTCATTTGATAAATGAGCAAAGAATTGTTTGGCTCATTTGATATATGACCTAGGAATTAGCTTACTCCTAAAACTACACTCATTAGCATGTCAATTACAAAACTACAGCTAATTATTAAGGAAAACCTTAATGTACACCTAAAAATGGAATATATCCTAGCTATCAATAAGGTATCATCTCTTATGTTTACTCTAACAAGAAATTACCTCGACAGTAATGAATATTGGACAACGATATAGTTACTCTTACATAACCAAGGAATTGACTCAAAACTAACCATAGCTCAACACTAACCAAAAAATAGTAATAACACCATTTCTTTACCACCCACTTGATGCTAGCCCCAGCTATCCTGCAATACACCACATGCCCAACTGCCTAACGCACTCAACAACAACTAGTGACACAACATCATACCCATCCTCCCTGGCCACAGATAGCCCACACCATTCACACAACGCCCAAGGCCACAACAAATAAGTATTGCTGCTTCTACCAAACATAAACCCCCACACAGCAACTCTTCATGCAGCCATTAAAATCAAAACCACACAACCAAATAATACTTAACCACTTCCATCAACTCAAAAGTAAATGACATAAACTCAAAAGTAAATTACATAAGCAAAAATATATTGACATTTATCATAAGATCCTGCTTCAGACAAACATAACATATCATCCAAGGGTATTCCATACTTCAGCAGCAACATCAAGCATAAAGCATATCTATAGAACCAAATTTACATCGAATGATCAATTTCTTTACTCACTTTTCTACTCACAAAAAGCATTGGAATAAGTAAAGTATTTGTCATAACATCCTACTTCGGACATAAAGGCCTCACCGAATTCTTACCTATCTTCGACATTTCCCCCATCAGATGCCAAACCAACAACATATCCTCGATCATACAATGACGAGCAATCATTATTCACAGATAATGACTCTTTCCGTTGCCTTTTCTGGACATGGACATCCATTGTAAATGACTAGCATCCAAAAGAAAATATATGTTAGGTGAAACCTTATATAAACAATCAATTTTAGTGACTTGGGATGCCACTAATTCCTGTACAAGATTAGATTTGTAAATGTCAGCCAATTAGCAAATACGGGAATCTTAAATTTAGCAAATCAATGAAAAATTAAGAAAAAAAAAACTAATTCAAATCTGTATGGAGCTATGAAAAACAAAGTACTGAGAATTAACCCACTAATTGACATATGTTATATTAGTGGCAGACCGATCTTGAACATCTGGCCATTCACACACCTTTTCTCAAGTTCTGGACATTTCCAAATGTTAAGCTCTTGTAATACAGTGAGTTCACGAAAAGATTCTGGGAGCGCCACCAAGTTATGGAAATTCCTTATTGACAACCACCGATACGTTGCCAAACCATTCTGGTAGGCCCCTTAATTCAGAGAGCTCATCAATGTAAGTTTCTTGAAGACTTGTGACATAGCATAGGCTCCTAGGAAGAGATTTCAATTTTGAGATTGAATACAAGCTCAAGGAGATAAGGCACTTCAGGCTTTGCAAAGCAAACGACCTGCCACTAATAGCCTCATCTTCACCATCATCATCATTCTTGACATCCCACAAATCCACTTTTTCACAGTGACCAAAGCTTCAAATCCTCAAGGGAAGAGAGACGCTGTAATGCACCCGTTAAGTCTCTCAGTCTCCCACAATCATTGATTATAAGTTTCCTGAGAGATGATGGAGATTCAATCACTAATTTGGTCAATTCATGGCATCCCTTAATCCAGCTTGTTGCTCATTAGATAAATGAGCGATGAATTGTTGCTCATTTGATAAATGAGCAAAGAACTATTTGCTCATTTGATAAATGAGCAAAGAACTGTTTGCTCATTTGATAAATTAGCAAAGACTATTTGCTCATTTGATAAATGAGCAAATAATTGTCGCTCATTTGATAAATGAGCAAATAATTGTTGCTCATTTTATTTCTTTTTGCTAATTTTATTTTTGTTCGCTCATTTTATTTTCACTATATTACTTTTCATATTTAGTTTGCTCATTTTACATATCTTCTATTGGATTTATCAAATAATTACAAAATAAGAACATTTAATAGGAAATTTCACGAAAATAAGCTTTTATCAACATAAAAGTAACATGCAATAGGAAATTTTTAATCAAAATCCTAAATTTAGAACACTCAACTCTAAATATCTAGCAAAAATCATACAGTCAAACTCGAATAACCAAATTAAGAGCAGTCAAATTCGAAATTTTCCAGAACACTAATATCGAAAATTAGAACATCAAATTTGTAAATTTTAACGAAAATACTAAATTATGACTCATTGCTAAAATTTTAACGAAAATTCAACATTCAAACCATGAAATTCGAAAATACTGACAAAAATTAAGAAAATTATATTCGGAAAAAACTAACATAACTTTTGTTGATTATTTACCAGTATAATCTATGAAGCTTGTTGATTCTTGTTATTGCTGAAATCTGACAAAAATCGAACGGAATTGTGTTCGAAATCCTTGAATCTCATTGAAATTGAAGCTCGTAGTTTCTTCAGTTTGTTTTTCCGAGTAGTAGCAAGTATATGGATGAAAAGTTTGGATTTATTAGAGCCGTTAATTTCGTTTGATCCTAAGGCTTAGATTTATTCTCATATATTAGGAGTGCTTTTACATAAAGGGTGGTTCTTACCGAATTCCGACCCTATATATATATATATATATTATATATTTGAGAAGAGCAGCGGAACGGTTCATTATGAACAGTAGAGCAGTGTGCGGACGGTTTTGTCCTCGTCTTGGAATGTTATTTGTGGTCCCGCCATTGGATCTTGTTTTCCTTTGCTTTTTACCTCAGCTTTGTACTTGCCATCACTCATTATTTCCGTTTTCTCTCTCTTCCTACTCTCTTTCTCTTTCCTCCTCTGCTATTGTCCTACTATTTTTCCACTTTCTATCTTCCATTTTCGCTCTTCCATTGAAGGTCAATATGAGTTTTCCATTGAAGTGTGTTCTGAGCTTCCTTTCTTTCATTATTGCTGAGATAATTATCCGTATCCGTACTGAATAAGTGTGAATTTTTACTAATGGAAATTCTGATTTAATGATTCGACAAATATAAGAGCATGAAATTGATGTTGAAGGCCTAACAATGGAGGATTTGAGGTTTAACAATGGCGATAATTAGATGAGGTTTAACAATGGCGAAAATTAGATGTTTTTGGCGCTGTTTGCAATTTTGCATGCTTGAGAGTTGAGACGAAATGGGGAAAAATAAGATAGTTGCAATTGAGGTTTCTGACTAATAATTATTTTTGTTGATCTTTTATTAATTAATTAATTGGAATTTAAGTGTTGTTATTGTTTCTTCGGTGATGTTTACTATGTGGCTATCTTTCCTTAAAGAGTTTTTCTTTTTGCTGTTATTTTACCCATTAAATAAAATTCAATTAGATTATTACGTTAAATCAAGTAAATCATAAATTTTTGTACGGAAAAAAAGGCATGCAATTTGGTTATGTATATTAGGCTGTTAATTTTGTGGGGAGTTATAATTGATTTGATTAATATATTATTTACTTATGTTTCGCATTCATCATTAATTTACAGATTTTGGAAAAGAGATTTGCTTAGTTTCATTCACAATTGTGTTCTTTGGTTTCTTGGTGCATTTCAGAAGGTTAGTTCTTTGTTAACTCTTTCTCTGAATATAGTTAGTGTGCTAGATGGATTTTGTTTATTAGTTTTTGTGAGATTAAATTTTGGTCTGTTTGAAGTAACATGGATTGTTTTTATGTTTTATTTTTGGGGGTTTTTTATTTATTTATTTTTTAATTTTTAATGAGGTTATTGTGTGATTGTTTGTCTGATTATTGATCTAATTTTTAAAAATATATACAGTATTATTGTGGTTCTAATTATTTTGTTTACCTTGGATCTTAGTAGTGTTGATTTTCTTATTAAGAAATTATTAGTGCACAATTTTGAAGTATGTTGTTTTTATATAATTTGTAGTGGTTTTCTGTAGTTCAAAATTTTAAACTTAATTAAATATCACTGTTTCTGAGTTGATGCCATATTTACAATTTTGATGAATTCTTATTACAGTGGGATTACTCAAAATCTGTAACAAATTCCTGATAATTTCAGTTCTTTTTCGATAAGGCGGAGTAAAAATTCAGAATTTCTATGACTCGGCGCTATATCGGACAGGAACCACATCTTTGCTTCCTCTCATCCCTTTTCTTTTCTGGTTTTATGGTTCATATAATTAATGTTGCTATTGCTCTACTACCACTGCCATCTTTTCATTGGTGGTGGTGGGGGTAGCGATGGCGGTGATGGTAACCCATCTTTGCTACTTGCTTGCTGCGGGTTATCAACTTCATATCATTTCATTCTCTCTAACTTAGTTGCTACTATCCAAGTAAAACTACATCGCCATTCACATATGATGGTCCTTGATATTAGAGTTTCTTGGCTACATATTTGTTAGCTTGTTGCTTTATGATCCTAGATAGGAAGTCCGAGGTAATTCATACCTAAGGACACTCAGCTCGTTTAGAGTGATCATTATGGATAGGAATTTCCTGATGATATTTTTGCAGCAATTCAATATGAATACAATTAGTGTTCAAAGTTCGAAAGATTGTTTCAGTACATATAAGTTGTTCTTAAAGATGTTGTATAGTATGATGAGACTTTTAGTTTTAGAGTAATTAGCAGTAATTCTGTCATTCAGTTTGAAGTTTCTTGCTTGGTATCTCATTGGCAAAACTGTTTGTTTAAGTGTCCTGTAATTGTCTAATACTCGTATCATGTGACGGGTGGGGTATCCTCTCCCTTAAATCATCCTTACTGCCCACTAATCATTTAGTTCTTGAGGTTTACAAAGAGGTCTTTTTTTAAAGATGTATAGGACAATCTTTCTCGTGGGAACCTAGCTGTTGTTAAGATTTTGCAACAAATGTTTCCTGAACTAGGAAGGCTTCAGTTTGTATATGCAGATTTGGGTTGCTATTACTCAAAAGTGTATTTGAAGTATAAATAAGATCATCAGTATAAAATTAAGGTATGAATTCAGTATCACCCTGTGACTGTCATCGGGACAGAAGAGTAGTAGCAGACTTTTGTAATTTAATTGCTTTAGTTTTATGGCTTGGCTAATTTTTTATTGGAGTGCTTGATTCTCAATGTTTAGCTATTGACAAGATTCAAGTAGGGCAGGGACTGTTCTAAATAAGCATTTTGATGCTTATATATTCGTATTTGGCTTGACTGCCTCTTTAATCAATTTATTTTAATTTGCTATATGTTAATATTGAATTACGGTCTGGTTTTAAGGAATAAAAAAAGAAAGAACGTTAAGATGTAGCCTGTGACATGGGGGAGTACAAAGGTGGAGTTGGTGATTCATAACAAAATTTCTTAATTTTAATTTTTATTGTTTTCTGCCAATTCAAACTGTCTGTTACCCTACTGTACTGAATATCAAGTGGCATTTAAAAGAATATAGAGTAACTTGCCTCATCCTATTGTAGCTGTCTTAATATTGGTGTTTTATATGATTTGTGTGTAAATATAGTTACTGTTGTCTGGGTTGGATTCCATGTATTGAGTATTTAAATGTTAGAATTGGTGCTTTAGAAGTGCAATTGAGTATAAGGAGCTCCAGCCTTAAGTACTTGCTGAACGTTTTAAGGCTGTTCCCAAGGTGATTGTGAATCATCACAACCATACTTTTCAAAGGAATCCTTCTTAGGTTGAAGAATATGGATGGTTACAAACTTTCCCAGGACTTTAATAGCATCGCAGTTATTCAACCTGTGTTGTAGATAGACCTTCTGCATTAGTGATATTGACTTTGAAGTGATTACCAAGCAGGTGAATCTTTTGAACTTTGGTCTCACTGTCCGCGTCTAGCCCTAGGGACACGTTTCTTCTTTTGTGGATCTAATTCAGCCTTAATTGATACTACATTTGGTAGAATTCCATGGTGACCCAATTCCATCTCATGAGATGTAAATATGATTTTTGTAATTCATAGAAGAAAAATAGGATCATATATAATAGTATAAAAGAAATTTTGAAATATTCATGCTTAATATAATTATTAGTTAATTGACAATTTTTTTTATTTTTTATTTTATCAGGACAACAGAACGCATGCATCTTGATGAGCTTAACCCTAGCTCCATGAATTTCACAGTCAAATTTAAAGTTGTTGAAAAAGCTAGATAAAGGATATCCTCCAACTCTAGAGAAACAATCTTTCAAACTTTATATCTACTTGATGAAAAGGTATATTATGTCTTTTTGGATTTTGTCAATATAATATCTATGAACCTTATTAAATGCATGTATTTAATAGGATCTGGTTTAGGTTTTTTAAAAAATAACTAATTTTGCATGGAATCTATGGCTTTATGTGAGATCTAATTTTGATAAAAACAACCAACTAGGGTTTCGTAGAAAAAAAACACATGCAATTATTGGTAGATGAAATTTACCTGTCAAAATAATAAGGACAAAGCTAATTTATAAATTATGTCCGATAAATGTTACATGAATCATTGAGCATTACATCAAAACTCTTGTAAGTTACTGTAATATAGTGAAGTTGTTAGGATGAACTTTTGTAAACTTTTGTGCTGATCTTACCATACACATGCTATCTTATCACAAATTAATCATAAGAATATAGTGAAGTTGTTAGGATGTTGTTTGGTGTTATAGATGAAATTTACCTATGAAAGAAGTCAACGGATGACCATGCATGTCCCCTCCTCTTCTCCAGGGTCATTTTTGGATACTCTTGTAGACAATCTTCCTTAATAAAGATGTATTTTTTTTTTTTGCTGCTGCTCTGATTGCAGTCTGATTCGAGGACTACAAATGAATAATCTTCCTCTCATTAATACACAAAATACCCATTTGTTTTGAGATTACTTTATACTGATGTGTGATCTGTTTGTCTCTATGTCCAACCAGAGCTTGCGTTTGTACCAGCCTAAGCATCTTTTTTTCCACCTATTCCCTTCCACTTTGAAAGGACATTCTTTTTCTTCAAATCATAGTGGATTAGGGGATGCATGTATTCATTTGAGTGGATGATGGAGTATGTTATTGATCATATTGATATGGTGGGAGTCGTATATTACAGAACTAATGATGTGTTGTTGATGGTATAGGCTGTAAATGATTTTTGGAATGGCTATGTAATCAATGTTGTATAGGTTGCAAATGATTTTTGGGATGAGTACTACAATGAGTGCAATCATACAACATGTGTTTTTAGCATTGAATTAAATTATACATACTCAAATTTATTTTAGAATAACAAGATGCGTGTCACTCTTTTTGGAGATCAAATTAAAGCATATGACGAAGCCATTGCATACAATGGAGAGTATGAAATCTCTAATGCAACTGTGAAGCCACTAGATGATCAATACCATACTGTCCATGATCTGTTACCATTTCAGCTACATTTCAATCATCGGACAGTTGTTCAGCCATGCCCTCAAACAGGCCATGTAGTACCACAATATCAGTCAATAGCTTCAATTCCAAGACTGTAAGTTGTTGATGAAAGATATGGCATTATCCTGTACTTAAATTATTACTTATATCCTACTACATATGTATGTATCAATCATTAAAAAATTATTAATAACATAGATTTTCAGCCAATTGATACAATTTTTTGTGAATTTGACGGAGATGGTGAATATGGTATACCCATTATATTACTATCTATGTATTTATGCACCTAACTTTTCCCGAATTTAAGATAACTTATCGATCTGAAAATTTAGTCATACTATTTGCAGAAGAAGAAGCACGACATGTCAACTCCAAATATAATAACCAAAGCTATGTCCGAGAAATTGTCATCACAGACCAAACGTAAAAATAAAATACTTTAACTAATTCATAAGATAACTTTGCTATCTATGCAATTACTAAACTAACTGGTTGTTTGCTTGCTATAGCCATAACAGACCTTGACCATCTCTGCATGGAATGACCTCTCGGGAACTGCAAGTGATGCTCTAAATTCTGGCTGAAAAATTTGCCGTAGTTGGCTTCACAGCACTTAAACACAATCCTCGTAGAGGTAGAACCACAGAAACTAATTAATTTTAAAGAAAACCTACTTATTGTTCATATGAATTAAAAGGCTAACATGTCATCTATTGTGCTGCGTTTGCCTTATCAGCTACCATGTCTACAAGGATTATTCATAACCCAAAAGGAGATAGAGAGAATGTCTTACGTGAATGGTAATTTAAGTCATTACAAATATTAATTAATTGATAAGAAATAATTACTCTAACTTCTTAAACTCGCGTTTGTGATGCCATATTATTTTTTATACATGTATAAGGCTGTTGCACAAAAGCAACTACTATCTGACAGGCAAAAGTTTTACAAATTCGAGATACTACACAAGAACAATCTATGAAAACAATTGAAGAACTGAAAGACAAGAAGGTAGTGGAAAAAAAATGCAGTGTTCCTAAAGGAAGGCAATTCACATGCATCGTCTGTGACAACAAGAACTGTGTCTCAGCTCCAAGGTTTGTTAAAACCCAACTTTTAAAATAATCTAGGATATAATTTAACAATACCTTTATATTTGATCTATGTAAAAGCTTAATTTATTAAACTATCAGGTGTCATGTGTTGATGTAATTAATTTTGGTTGAGATGTTATTCATGTTTTGGATTAATTTATTTATTGTAATTTTGTAGTGTTATATTGCGATTTAAGTACTGGAATAAGTATTACTCCGTATTAATTTTCTCAGTTTAATCTGTCCCAATTAAAGAAAGCTTTATTAATTGACATTTTTTGGGGATTCAGCTTAGTGGGGTGTATATAAGCTATTGGAATCAAGAAGAGGGTAATAGACATATTAGTGAATTAGCTGACTTTAATTTGCATTATTTCTCCTTCTATTGCATCTATGACTATGTCATGTATTATGGGACGGAGGGAGTATTGCACGTATTGTAATATGAAACGGGTAGTAATATAGTAAGTCAAATGGAAACACCGAAACAGTTTAAAAAAAGACGAACAGTAAAAAATTGTAAGAAGTCAAAGAAATGGGCCAAAGAAGCCCATAAAGAAAGAGCACCAGGGGATATGGATGGAAGGATGGTTGTTTTAGTAAAATGAGGGATTTTGGGATTCCCTATTTCTCTCTTTTTCTCTTTCTTTCCCAAACTTTGAACTACTCCTGACTACCATTGGAGCTTAGGAGGGAGAGTGAGAGAGCTAGTATATCATCACAAACCTAATTATATTCAAACCCAGAAATTCAATTTTCTGATTTTTCAGATTTTCTTGCAAGTGGGGTTGTTGTGATCTGAGCAAATTTGGTGGTGTTTTCTAAAAATTAAAAATGGATATTGATAGCATAGAGTGTGTATCTTCCATAGATATGGATGAAGATGAAATAATACAACAACATCATCATCATCATCAACCTCATCACCAATTTTCATCTTCAAAAGCTCCTCACATCATCAACAATGGTGTCCTTAATCCCAACATTCACCCTGCTACCAATGTTCATGAGCTTCTTGAATGTCCTGTTTGTACCAATTCTATGTACCCCTTCACCAGGTTTTCCTTTTATTCTTTCTCCTTGATTTATTAATTTTTGGGATTTTTTGTCCATTTTTTTTCATAAGTTTTTCTATCTGGGTTTGTTTGATTTTGTAAGGTTTGTCAGTTGTTTGGTAGAACTGTGTGAATTTTGTTGGGGGTGTTGAGTTTACCCAAATTTTTTAGGTATTGATTTGTAGGGTTTTGGCCCTATGTACTCTAGAGCATCTAATTATTGGAATTAATAACATTATTTGTTGGATTATTTAGTTGTTCTAATTATATTAGGGAAATTGCTAAAATGTTGGTACTTTTTAATGTTCTTTTACTTGAATTTTGAACCTAAGTATTATAGGAAATGAATTGGGCCTTATTATAAACAAGTATTAATTTTCCTGAAAAATTCTATCTCTGGCATTAACTGGTTGTAGCCTAGAGTTAAGCTGCTCTCTAGATCCTTGGAACAGTAATATATAGTTGTATCATAATATTTCTTATAATACTGCTTTCTGTTTTTGGTGCTTGGTGGAGTGTAAATTATGGCAAAAATTAGCATGATCTAGACTTTAGACTTTGGATTATTGGCTTTTAAGTGGCATTTTGGGAAGGTAATCTTGGGACATTTAAAGAATTTGTGGTACTATTATATGAAGAAAAAAAGGTAGTAAGAATAAAGAAAATTCTTGTTGTGTATAGTTGCTACTTGCTATTTACTTAATGACCTTGTTAGTCCCAGATGATAGATGATAGAATTGCAGTGTACACACGAATTTAATTGAGAAGAAGACCTATGAGCTGTTGTTGTTATGCTGAGACTCTCAGTAAGTAGCGACTTGCATGGACCATGAATCCTTTCTTATCTTGATCTACTGCAGTTTTCCTAGGATACTTCATTGCCAATGCAATAAGTAATATGTCCCATTTAAGAGCACCTACATTAAGTTCTTTTTGCATTTGAAAGGGACCAAAGACCAATAGTCTTCTGTAATATTTCCTACTCTCTCATTCACTGTCTAGAATTAGGGAAAAGGAAAGGGGGGATGGGGGGTTGTTGGTTATTCTATTTGGTCACTAAGACCTCTTTACAAGTTACACACTTTATACAACTTTATGTGCTATAAGACCATTGAATAACACAATTAGGAAAATTGCATTATATAATAGTAACCCTACCGTTAACTTTATCATTTTTTTTGTTGTACAGGGTTGCTTTCAAATTCGACGCAGCTGATGTAACAGGTTCAATAACATTGACATCGTTCAACAATGACACAGAGAAATTGTTCAACAAGAAATCAAAGCTATGAAAGATCTTGTATGACTCTTTTACATAATACTTCTATTAAATTTACACATAGCTTAAAAGCAATTGCAAACATTCTACTTATAATGAATATTGTTAATAAGATACATATCCTTACAATGCTATATTTCAATTAGAACAACTTACAATACACCGATAATATATATGCTAATTACAAATGTAATGTATAGGGTGATGTAGTTGCCTTTCAAGCAACTGAAGAAAAACTCAGGAAAAAAAGACAACTTTCTTCAAACTCGGTCCATCTAATTTCCTAGGTTCAAGCAGGGTTTTAGGATGGTCACTCAAAACTATTGAAACCGCTTAAGATGCATCCAAAAAAGGATTTAACAAAATTAACTGTTGCAAGAAGCGATGAAATTGAATTTTCAAATTTAAATATGAATGTGGATTATACACCAACCAAGCCCCATAGGAGTGCTTCAGTTGATATAGAAGAAAATGTTACAGCAACAAACAAAGATACACCAGATTCAAAAGCAAAGGACAAAGGGAAAGAGAAAATTTCAGAAACAACTTTTCGTAAATTCCCATTGTCATCAAAAGGCAACAATTCTAACACATATTTATTATAAACAAGCCCTCTAAATTATACATAGTAAATTCATGAAAATTGATACACCTATACCCCTATTCCCAGGTATAAGGCCGTGGGACTGCTTACAACAACTTGAAAAACAAACCCCTGAAATATTCAGCTGCTGAAACACCTGCTACTGTGAAATCTCCTAAGATTACCAGAGTGGATACAACTCTGTCGAACATGCATGAGTGGAAACAAACAGTCTCCAGTGACTCTAGCACATAATGAAGACACGCATAAACTAACTCGGTTCGTGTAAAAAGTGTTGCTCGAAAAAAACTCCGTTTCACAACATCACCATTTGATGAAAATGAAGATCATGACTCCGCCAACAAGGACCCAACTAATTTAGCAACATCCACTCCTGAAAAATCTGCTACACCAGACAGTGATGCAAACACATCTGTACCCAAGAATGATCATTTCATAGACCTCAACTGACTCTCTCACCGAAGGAAATTAGCAGCAAAAAAATCAGCAATGTACATACGTAAGTAAACTAGCTACTATAAGTAACTTCAAAGGTGTGGTACTGTCACCCCCTTTATTAAATTTTTTTGGCTTGCATGATAATTACATCAGTGACATCTATTAAACATGAGGGTAATTACAACACTTGATATTTTGATGTATTGAAGGAACGTAGTTCATACTACGTATTTCTATCAAAATCCTCTGTTTCTTTTGTATTGCTCCAGCATTGCATTAAAATAAGTTTAGATGAAAGTAGAATATCTAATGTAAATAGGGTTGCAGTGCTATTGAGTTAAATCTTTTGAAGAGTTTTCTAAGAACATGTACAATAGTTAATGTTCCTAGAAAACACTTTAAAGGGTAGTATGTTGTTCATAAAAAAATTACACTGATGTAATGTTTATTAATAAATCATCATATATAAAATATAAAAATTATGGTAAATTAGAAGTGTTACAGTTTTTACTAACTTAGTTTGAGCAGACCATAAAAAATTGCACTGATATAATTTTTGTTTCAGCAGAACGGTAAAAGGGGGGATTATTAATTTCAATATTCCCTTAAAAAAAAAGTCACCTAAAAATCTGTTTATGATTATATTTGTACCATAATGCAGAATATAAGAGAAGTAGATTGCGATACTCACCTACATTCAACTGTTTACATGATGAGTGTTTTTTAGTATATACTTTTCAATCATTTCAATCAAAAAAGAGAATACAACTTTAGAGCCTTCTGCTGTTATTTTTTTCTTCAGCTTCATCAGTGGTTTATTGTTAGTTATTTAGCTCTATTATGAGAACTTTAAAACTATGACTATCCCTAAACCTCAGAAGATGAATTTCACATAAAACTTATCACTCACAACACTAATTTTCATTCTTATTTTATTCGTGGGCATTCTCTTTTCTATTTAGATGCAATACGACATCCGTTTTCAAGGTCAACTAATGTAAATTACACAGTTGTGTACAATGATATTCTAATCTAATATTTTTATTTTATAAATAATTACTTCTTAAATTAGCTATATTATCTCCTCCATAATATAGGCAAACCATTTTAGCTCTTCCATTGACTAATACAACTAAAAAACAAACGACATTGCAAATGATATTAAATAGTTATAATTTTTTTTTTTTTTTTTTTTTTTTAGTTTTAACAAAATAAATTGTTAAATATATCACTTTGTTTCTTATTATGTTTCAACAGGTGAAATCTTAGGAGATTCAAATTGGACAACTAATAGCTTAATGACAACCGAGTATAGGCAACCAGGCTACCTAAGAGGCAATTTTAATAGCTTAATATGTAAGAGGCAATTTCAGGTTAAATAACTAAGAATGCAACATTTCCCTCTTAGATTGCCTTTAAAATTTTAAATTCATATACACACACACACACATACACACACACACACACACACACACACACACACACACATACACACATATATATACACATATATATATATACACACACACACATATACACACACACACACACACACACACACACACACACACACACACACACATATATATATATATATGTGTACACACACACACACACACACACACATATATATATATATATACACACATATATACACACACACACACACACATATATATATATATATATATATATATATATATATATATACATATACACACACACACACACACACATATATATATATATACACATATATACATATACTTATACATATACACACACACACACACACACACACATATATTAGAGGTGATCATTGGGCGGGCCGAGCCGGGTTCGGGCTGGCCGGAGCTAAAAAATTTATTCCCATTTCTCGGGCCGGGCCAGGCCAAGCTTTGGGCCGAATTTTTTGTGCCAAACCCGCCCAAAATGGTTGGGTCGTGCAGGCTTTTCGGGCCATGCCTAAAAAACCAACTAAATATGCATCAAAACGCATTCCCAAACCCGCCAAAAAAAATAAATTCGGGTCGGGCCAGACTAACCCGATTTTGGACCAAAAAATTCTGCCCAAAACCCGCCAAAATCGAGCCGAGCCTACGGGGCGAGCCATACTTGATATATATATCAAATATGTGTGTGTGTGAGTGTGTGTGTTTTATTTATTTATTTATTTATTTTATTTTTAATTTTTCTTTTTGCGAAAATGACATAATCGATATGTGAAAGAAATATGCTCATTTTATTGATGAAAGAAAGGTGAATTAAACATATAAAACTGTGAAATGGAAAACCTATGCTAGATATAATATGGGGAAGAAAATGCATAATAAAAAAAAGAAATCATGAAATCTTGCACGAAGGACTCGCCGTGCGCCTTGTCTTCATTACTTCTTGTCGCCTAGAGGGACATGAAGTTTTTTTGCATCAACCAAATCTTGAATGTCACCTTTTAGATTCCAGCACTATTCAGTAGAGTGACCCCTTCCGTGGTGGAACTTGCGATGAGCATTAGGGTTCCATTTGACAATCCTTTCTTCATGTTTCGGCTCTAGGAATGGCCCAATAGGTATAATCAAGCCTTGACTATAGAGACGATCAAAGGTAACGTCGTACGTCATTCCCAAAGGAGTGTAAGTTCTCCTTTTTTTAGGCAATGGAGCATCAAGAGCTAAAACTTAATTGAGATCAACCTGGCTTACATTGTTGGTAGTATTTTCGGGCTTAGAAGACGAAGAAGAAGGAAGGTCGTTTTTCTTGTTTTTCCAAGTGTTATTGTTGTTATTACTACCAGCAGTCTTTATTAGCTCATCCTTAATATTGATGCTTGTATCGTATACAACTTCGAAAGTGTTCAATGGTAGGAATTTGAGATGTTGCCTGTACTTGTGGGTCAGATACTGGATAAAGAGGCGAACCATCTCCCTTTCTTTAGGAGGATCCACCAAGAGTGCAGCTGTTTCCGTCCACCTACTCAAATAGGCAGCGAATCCTTCATTTTTTTTTTGCTTAAGAATGGAGAGTTCATGTTCAGAAGTCCTGGTTTGGATGTTCACTTGTAACGATTCATGAAACTTTAAATGAAATCTTGCTAAGTTGCAGTGTGCTTGGCATCTAGAGAATAGAACCATTGTTGGCAAGCATGATCTAAAGAGAGAGCAAACACTTTAGGGAAGAGTACCCTATCCAATCCCTTGAGAGCCATGGTTGCCGAGAAGGCCTTCAAATGAAACATTGGATTTTCAGTAGGTTTGAACTTTGGTATGTCGACAGTGGAGAACTTTTCAGGAAGCTTGTCCTTTACAACCAAAGGAGTGGAAGGTTGTTCAACATAGGTGAAATCTTCAGAAATTTTGCTCACTTGCACCTTCAGCTTGTCAACAATAGCAACAGTGGCATTGGTTCGTTCCATGGTAGCGACCTTAGTAGTAAGGGTTTGCACCATGGCATAAATTGCCTCGATGGACTTGTGAATGCCCTCAATGTCTTCCTTGGTGGCCGTTGGAATGAATTGAAATTAAACAGGAGATGGTGAAGGAGATGAACTTTGTGGAGACGATAGTGGTTTCCTTGCACGCCTCTTAGGTATAAGAGGTTGTTGTGGAAGTGACTCGAATCGTACCAATCTACCCCTGCTTCTCGACCAAGCGCTGCGATATTGAAACAAACGCACCTTTAATGACTTGACTCAACTTTGACCCATCCGGAAAGTAAAAAAATGTTTTTATTTTTTTATTTATTTTAGAAAAAATCATATATGGGAGGATACCATCCGACTTACTCCCAAAAAAAAAAACGAAAAAAACGACACAAGACCATCCCAATGTACGGTCGTGAACTACATGGTGCATGACTTGAATAAAAAACGTGTGTGGACTCAACTTGACTTGTGAGTGATTAAGTGAGGTTATAAGATGCGTGTTATAACCGTACCACTAGACATGACGCTAGACAAGACACATAAACCACAGAGACAAGCACGGAGGAACAAAATTGACTGAGTGCGACCATACCTTGGTACCGCGCCACGGTACAAATATCGTGGCATGACAAACTGTACCATAGTGCAGTACAACCTGTCGTGACACAGCACTGTTTGCTGTGACACGACAATTCTGCCGTGACACGATAAACAACTCTAGGTTTTGTTTTTTGCTATTTTCCAGATTTTATTCAATATTATGTACGTTTTAGATACTATATAAAAACCCTCGGTCATTCATTAGTCAAAATAACAAGATGAACAAACGCACTTGGGGTTAGCAACACAACAATAAAGCC